CCCTTGCCATTTTCCCTTCCCCCCCTCATCTATTTAACTTCCTATCCACCCCACAAAAATATCTGCACCACTATTTTAAGGTGTCGAAAAAGACATTCATATTATTTTAAATGATGTTTTTTTAATGTTAGGTTACATTTTTTCTTAAACTCTGCGGAAAACATCACAAGACTGTCTTTTATTGGACTGGGACTATTTTATTTACATTTTCTTCTTCAAAATGTGCTTGCATCTGAGGTTTATTCATTGTCTACGTCCTCTCACCCCTACCAACCATTGGGAAAAGCCAAACTGAAGCCTCTACCTTCTTGCTTCTTCAAAATTTTTTCACATGCTGCCATCCATCGTTCCCTATTGTCGATTGAAAGTCTTCCATTTGACTTCTCTCTTTGCTCTTATTTGTTATATCCAAAATACACCGATCTGAATTAAGATCTAAATTAAGCCTACTAAACAGCAATAACGTGGACGATTGACGATATTCCAAAGACCCAGAGTACAACGGCAATGCAAGGGCATAAGTAGACACAACTCGGACGGAAATGCCGATCCCCTCCTTTGCGCCGATCTCACTCCAGATCATAGGTGCGTTAAACCGACGTCACCATAACGTAGAAAGGTTTCTTCCTTACAATGGCCACGAACAAATGAAGCTTGCTTCATACCGATCTCAACTAAATACTGGTGTTAAAAGGGTTGCCACCTAGAACTCTTGCACCACCCAAAGATATAAGCCACTTAAGGAAGTTGGGCAAGTTGCGGGGACACGAGCCACTCTGCATGGGGCTAACCTCTAAGAGACCGTCACGTGTCTCGAATAAAAACATATTTTAAAAGTCACCCCCTTCTATAAATAGCAGGCGGCTTTCGGTAAAGGCAAGGGGCATCGAGAAAGCATCACTTACAATACGCATCTAAAAATAGGGCATCGAATTCCAAATTCAAGAAAGATGCATGGAAAATACAACCCAATATACTAGTAACACTTGCCATGTTTCCTAGTTCAGATGGCCTTCAATAGGCTAGGCTCTTGTAATAAAGAGTCAGAAAGTGGCCCAAATCCATGAATAATACCCCCCCAGTGCACGCCTCTCAATGCAACACTTAATTCGTAGTGGACCGTCTTGTTGTTCCTATTTCTTTTCATGTCTTTGTTTTCATTTTCAATCATCACAAAACACTAACCACACCCCGTAAATAGAATACTACAGGTTCGTAGTCGTTAGTGAAACGATCCTCAACGCTATTTCTTCCAGCTTCTATCAGAATATCTAAATACCAACTTATGTTGTCATTGAACCAAAATATCAAAATACCAAAACATAGGACAAACTAAAATTTCAGAAGACCTGAACTGATAAGAAGTATCAGCAAATAGAACAGGTTCCATTATCCTTGATTAAGGGCAAGAGTTTCCAGTTCCTAATAACCTGATCTAAAGAGTGACCACGGGAATAGTTCATCTAATTAAATATTTTCCGATGAATCGCCAAAGTACAATTGACAATGAAACTGAAGAAAATCCAACTATTTATAAAAGTAAGAGGATTTTCAGTCCTCGTTCACTTGCAGCTGTAAATAGACAATCCGAGTAGACATTCATAGAAACAAATCACTTTGGGATAGACAATCATCAGACTACGGATTCATAGAAAAAAATGTCCGAGGGATAGGCAATCATCAATTCATAAAAGCAAATAGTGAGAGGTAGAGAATCAAAACATACTGGAAACCCGATCGTAAACGTCTGCAGCAGACTCTCCTTCTGGAAATCGATAGAAGAACCTTCCAAAGCGCTCTCTGGTCTCCTTGATCACTTTCATCCGCTGAGCGATCTGAAAATTGCCAAAGTCCTGCTCTCTGATACGACATTCCTCCCTAGCGCCGATGACCACGTTTCTGGGGAAAGCTCGGCCGATCTCCCGGAGCGTAGAACGAGTCCTGAGGTAGGGAGATACGTAGAAATAGACCTTCCAACCACGGCCGCCGTCATTCACGGCGTCGTAGATCCGAGATCCGGCGCGCTTGGCCTGGTCAACGCCTTGGGGAGTAAGGGGTATTTTGTTGTCAGGGGTGGTGGCGTAGGCGGTTCCGTCAACGTTCCCCGCACTCTCGCCGTGCCGGACAAGGATTATTCGCTTCGGGAGAGCCCTCTCCTTCTGCTGCTTAGGAGAGTGCTCCAACATTTTTGCCGATATTTCACAAAAAGCTGCATCACTGTTACAAATATGTATATTTATTTACTTAGGTGGGCCCTGTACTACCGTAATACTCATTTAAGTACACTTTTTTTTTTTCTTCTTTCTTTTTGTCGAAGATAGACATTCAACATAACAAAATCAAATATTTACACGGTCGAGAACAACTAAATAGTTGAATAAGTTCTTTACTAGCTTAATTTAATTGGGAGGACAAACTTCATGATAGCGCCAGAATGCCTAAAACCAACTTAAACACAACCCACTAGAGCAAAAAAAACACAACAAAACTCCCAACTGGAAAATAACACATCTCACAGTAGAAGAATATAAACAACTCCAAAACGAGAAATCAAAACCAACACAGACAAAAATAAAACAACTAAACAAGGAGAAAACAACACATCACATAAGAAAAAACTCCAAAACGACTACAAATACTAAGGGGATGCTTGGATATAACAATTTTTGGTTTTGTTTGGATTTTTTTGATTGGTTTGGTTAATTTTTAAAAATTGTGGTATTGGTTAATTGTTAATGGATATATTAAAATAATATATAAAATAATTAAAGTTGATTTGATGTAAAAAGTAAGAGAGAGAATTTGAAGTGATAGTTAGTTAAAATTATATGAGCGGATGAATAGTGAATTAAGGTTGATGTGATGTGTAAGAATGATTGGTTGATATTATTTAATTATAGTAAAATAATAATGATAGTGGTGTTGAGTTAAAGTTGAGTTAAAAAAAAAGTGGTTGAGTTAAAAATAATTGGATTTTTTTGAGATAATTTTGTATCCAAGCATCCTCTAAAGCCCTCCCATTAGAAGAGGATGCACTCCCAAGCACTCTGATATGGTAACCATCCCAGGAAGAACAGACCCTCAATCTAAACACAACACTAAAAACTGCGTACCACCAAAAGGATCCAAATATTCCCAAAAAGGCCACCACTGAAAAATGATATAGAAGACCTGCACCTAGGTTCCCTAAAACTACTATCAACAACCACCAAACGAAGAAGATCGAAGCAACCCCGCCGACAGCCCCCATACGCCCAACACCAGAGCAGACACAGGAGACAGTGTAACCAAGGCACTTGTCAAAGAAAATCGATGACCCACCATAGTCGGCAATCAAATTCCTCTGCCCTAAGCAACTCGACAAACCCGATTGATCCCTTTCTGCCATGGCCATAAAATTACTAGAGGAAATCCAGGCGGAAGAGAACTGCCACATACCCTTGCTGGTCACTAGTGACACTACAACTGGGTACCGAACACCAATCAGATGAAGAGAACTGCAGCTCAATCACCACCCCTCGGCCCGCCCTAGTCGAAATGGACTACAACCTCCCCCACCATGGATCCAAAGGACGAAACCCAAGAGCCACTTTTGTCGATCGAACCCCAATTCCCGACCCCAAAATTGAGGGTCAGGGAGGGCCTGTTAGAGGTATGCTGTAAAAGCTGTGTTTTGCAGTTTCTATCAATTCCATTTTGATCTGGCAATCATGTTTCGGTCAA